CCTTCTGTTGAAATTGGTGCTCAAGTTTCTAGGTTGTCCATGTGTATTCTTTTAATATCTAGATAAAGATGCTCTCTAATACACATTAGCCTTTTGATAAAATGCAGCTTTATTTACAGTTATTTTAAAATTAAATATCAGAAACTGGAGGGATTTGCAAGATTTGCTTTGTATCTCAGGATAGATTGAAACTCTACTACATTTTTGCTTTTGTTACTCTGTTGTTTTCTATCTGCCAGCAGCCAACTCTGCTTTGCATTCAAGACTCTTCATTTCATGGCAAAGGAGAAAGTAAAAACTGACAAAAAAAAAAAAAAAAAATTGAGACATGCACCAGAGATGTGTGCACAGACTTTTAAAGTTACATGTATTTATGTGAAGTTGTACTATTATATAAATATTTAGTTACAGAAGTATGCCTCATTGGTGGTTCTGTAAGGATGGCTTACATTTGGAAATTGGAATCTAATTTTTGGATAACCTTTTCTTTAAAAGAACCACCATGAATGATGAGTTCCCTAGAAGGGTTGTCTCTCCTTGTGCAAATAATTTCATAGAATTTTAAGCTTACCGTTGTGATTGTGCTCATTTGACCTAGGAGGTACCAAACAGAACTAGTAGGGGACCACACCACAGGGATGTATTATTTGTGCTAAAATTTTATAAAGGCTCAAAGGGAGACTGGAAAAGTACTTGGAGGCCAAGTGACTATTCATAGCCACTCTACATTTTGGATCTGTATGCATATTCAGTGCACCACAGTTTTCCATTTTTCCTTCATTACTTGCCTCCAATGCACAGTTTGTCAGGCAGAGAGTTGCAAAATCAGATTTGACAGTCTTTGGTTTTACAGCTGCTCACAAAACCAAAGAGGAATTGCAAAAAGCAGTACTAATCAATTTTTTAACTACTGTTTCAACATGTAGGGATGACAGCAGAAACACAAGAGTGGTTTACTGGCCAAGGAAGAAAGCAACATCCTGATTAATGCCTAAAGTTTCTAGAGAGAAAGGTTCTGTTATTCTCTGTTTTGCAGCCATTGATGGCCCATAGCAAGGAAGACTTGCTACTAGGACAGCCAGGTGAGCAGACAGACCTTTCCTGTCCTGTCCACAGCTGTGCGTTTTATTTGGAAAGAGAACCTTGCCTAGATTTGTCTTTAGTAAGCTAGTACTCATCAGATCACTGAATCTCATAAGGAGTATTGTTCCACCATGTAGGTGGATTGATCAGCTCCTGGTGTCCTGCTTCAAAGGCATTTTGTTCTTATTAACTACAAAGGAACACGCTGGACTGGTATACACTTTACTCAGTGTTCAGCAGCACTGACACCCCAAGGCTAGTTTTGTTTTTCCTAGAGCCAGCTGGGTTTTTTGGCTTTGCAGTTCAAAAGAGAATTTCTTGCCGAGTTTCATCTCCGAGGGATATGCGACGTGGAAGGACTTTGAGGAGGATGGTGGTGAGAAGGTCTGTCCGCATGGCTAGTGTGTTGGCTTAGCAGCCAAGGGCCGTTTTTGGTTCTTCATTGGCTTCTGCACTTGAATGCCTGTGTCACTGTGCTCCTGTGCTTCAGTTTTATAAAACAGCATCTCGCTGAGCAGCTGGCTGCTCTTTGGGCATGGTAACAAACCACACGGTTCTTTGCACTTCAGCTTTCAGTCCAACATTGAAGTCCTGTTACACTGTGAATGCACTAGGACTTAGGGGGATGGTTTACAGTGTTGTCACTCTTCCTTCTATTCACTAGCTCTGATAAAAGCTGAGGTATGCTTGCTACTTGTATGCCAGCATTTAAAACTTGTGAGTGTTAAGAACGGGAAGGAAATAGCCAGTTTTCCTTTCTTGAGAACCTGTAGCTATAATGGTGGAGTAGTGAGGTTACTAGAGGAAGATGTAGCGCTCTCTGAGACAAAATGAAAGAGTTTAAATTGGAAATATAGTTTGCAAGGGATCTTAAAAAGTGATAACAAAAAATGCTGTCCTGAGTTCTTCTCCTGGTTATGCCTTGGGATATTACTGGAACGCAATCAAATCGTTATTTTACTCTTTCTGACATTTCTCCAAGAACATGCTTTGACATTAAGCAAACAAATCTATCCTTCCCCCCTCCCACCTGAGCTTTAGACAATGAGTTCTTCAACAGGAGCATGAGTTCAGGAGAAAATGACAGGAGCTAATGTAGTTTGAGTACTGATATAGTAGGTACTTCATCTATCGGATACACATGCTTATTCTTGTGTCTGTATCTGAATATCATGTGTGAAATTATTATGTTTGTGTGTATTTCAAGTATTTTACACTCTACAGAATGGTCTGTTAGTTCAGGTCTAACAGCCAGATGACTTTTGCTGGTCTATTACAAAATTACACTGAGTGGGAGTGGAAGGAGAGGTTGAAATAGAATGGCTTCCTGCAGCATATCTTGTTGAAATGTCTTTTACGTTATTAATGCTTGTAGTTAATATTTTTCTACATAATCTTAGGATTGTACTTAAATGGGAAGAAATACAGGCAATATCTTCCTGTATCTTACATATTTTTATAAGTCTGTATCTATGTGAGTATAAGAATTCAAAACCATACATTTATAAAGCACCTGCCAGATAAGATGAGGTGAATGTAACTTTAAGAATAGTTTTCAGTCTAAGCAAAATACAGATGAATGTACATGATCACACAGGGGTGGGAATAAGTAGTTTATGAACTGTGTAGCCATGAAAGATGGTTTTCTCAAAAGCTGTTATGTGGAACATAGAGGGGAAAACACCTCAAGACTCTTGTGTTCAGACTTCACCTGTGGACTCAGAACACCATCACCCTTCTACCATTTCCTAAACGCAGGTTTCTCTGCCTGTGCCTGCTGCTTATAGGGGCGTAGCGTTGTGTCTCTGTCTGCTCCTGGTGTTTTCTCACCTTCGCTTCTTTGTTGCTTGTTTGCCTGCTGTTCCTCAGGTTTGTGTTTTCGCTTGCTTAAGCCTTTAGTGCTTTCACAGAAAGTTATGGTGTGAGGCAGAGGGAAAATGAGCTTTGGCACTTAAAAATTGTGAAAGATAGAGGAATATTTCAGGATCTCATCAGTGTTACCTTGCTGCTGCTGGGCCTTAATCACTAGACAAACTTTCCGATGAGAGGCAGAATATTTCTGTGCTTGTTCTTTTTCCTGGTGCTCATGCTGGTTTCATTCTGGCAGGCTTGACTTATTGCTGGTTTTGTACTATAATGCTATAGCAAAAGGGAGTGTCAAAAGCATATGAAAGAATGCAAACAAGTTGTAAAATTAAACTCCAAATCTTAAATCAAAACGATGATAGAAGTGTTTTCTATGCTTTGATATCCCACCCGCCACTTCTTTGCCCATATCCCAGAAACGTTAGACATGAGCTTGAAACTCTTCTGTTTCATGTACTGTTATATATGTAAAATGTTGGAATTTTTTTTAGATCAATTTCAGCTGGAGCGCACAAGAGCCCGCCATCAACTCCTTCCTTCTATATTGCAGGCCCACTCCCCGATGGATGGGAACAAGCTATGACCCAGGATGGAGAAATTTACTACATAAACCATAAGAACAAGACCACATCTTGGCTAGACCCAAGGCTTGACCCACGCTTTGGTAAAAGTTCATCTCACTTCAGAAGTTTTGATTCGCTTCAGTTCACTCAGCTTTAATTTTGCAGGCATATTTTGAAAACTTTTTATTGTATGATTAAAATACATTTTAATTTGAATTATAGAGACTTTATTTAAAAGAAAAAGATAGGCTTGGCATATATCCTTTAGGAATGTATGTCACCAAAGTTCTAATGCTAGGGGTTACTATTTTGCCATATGATCCATACAGTTTCCAAAATTTGTGGCATTAGAAATTACTTACCTAGAGACAGTTTCAGCCAAGATTACTCTTCCCTTTAAAATTACAAAACATTACCACAGAAGAATTTTTAATTCCTAAGCAAATATTTACTTTCCTTTGTGCTGTCTTTTAGAGGGCATTATCAAATAATAATAATTTATGCTGTTTAAATACACATGAAATACATACCAGCTTATAATTCCAGCTTGTCACAGTGATGATCATGACAAAACTTTGTTTTAAACAATATGGAGAAAAAATATTAGTTTTGTTTTTTTCTACTTTAATAATCTTTTTGTGGGGTAAAGACCGTGTAATATTGGAAATGGAAATAGTAAACCAGGGGCCTACGAGGTCTAGATGTAAAACCTTAAGAAAATAGAATTGATAACTTGTTTTTGCTAATGTTTTTGATCGATGTGAAGAGCAGAGCTGCGAAGATTTCAGCAATATATTGGCACTAGTGACTGAATAGCAGCAGCATATAATATTAAGAGACTCTAAACTGGTTTCTTAGATGGTCCAAGGGATTGTTCTGAGGTATTTAAGGCGGTATTACAACTTCAATTTTTGTATAAAGCCACAACCTGCGTGTGTGAGCTTTATTAGCTGCATTAATTTGCCCTTGATTTGTTTTCCCAATAACTTATTATTTTCAACTCCTTTAGATTTTAGTTTTTTGGTTGGTTTTTTGTTTTTTTTTTTTTTTTTTTTTTCCAGAGCCATGGAAAAAACAGTAGGGGTAAAAAAAAGAGAAGATCATTGTGGTTTTCATGCTTTAGTTTTGGACTCAGTGCAACTAAATGAAAACAGTGTGCAGATCACTGAGTAGGTCAGGCTGAGGGGATACAAAGCCTTTGAAGCTTTACAGGGGTTGACCTAACAACAACTGTGGGCCCCTTTTGGGAGAGGCATTAACTCCGTGAATGCCATATAAACACAGAACTGCAAAACTCAACAGTCCCTGTTCTATTTTGTTTTTCTGAGACAGCTGTTAGAAATTTCAGCATTTTTGTTTTGTAGGATTCAGTGCTTAGTTTAAACATCTTGTTTGCGCTTATGGATAACACCAGATTGTCACACTTGGTTTATAAACTGCTCACCAGTTTGTAGACAGGTTGAACCACTGTGCAACTTGAGCCCAGAGGTGGGGCGTCTATTGAAGGTTGTCAGCTTTGGCAAATGGCCATGCTGGCTTCAACACCGTCCAGAGCTGCAGACCTGTTTGCGTGTTGTAAGAGGAGTGTGGGGGTAATTTGCAGCTTCACAATTACTTAATATGTGAATAAGACTGAAAAGGAAGCAGTCCTTTTGAAAATGAGTGTTGCCTTTTGCAGTTAAAAGAGGCGGGTCAATTATATTTACTTAAGTAATCTTGCAGGGTATGTATTTTTCTTTTCTCTGTATTACTTTATAGTTTCCAGTGATGAGCTGACGTTAAAAAGGAGCGTGGAAGAGGCTTTAATTGACAGAGATGAATCTTATTTCTCAGGACTATTTCGTACTCCTGTAAATCGTACAGTCTAATTGCAAGGGCAGAAGCTACTTGTCTTGTGCATACTGAAAGTCCATCAAATGTTAAGGCTGTGCAGTTAAACTGAAAGAAGCTAGAAATGTCCAAAAGCCTGCATAAGGATTTCTTGCTGCATAGCTTCCCTTTTTGGGCCCACTGCGTATGTGTATCCCAGACAGGCTTGAGTACATGCCAAGGCTCTTTATTTTGTGGTCGGACTTTTAATCTGTTCCAGACCTTTTCAGTCAAAGAGCTCAAGTGTAACTGAAAGGGGCAGGAAAGAAAAAAAAAAAAAGCATGTGGGCTCTTCTGATCTAGAGTGACGGCAAATAGAGACAAGCTGCTAGCTGCCGTTGAGCTTGAAGGAGTTTTCCTTGAAATCTTAAGTTGTACGTGTTGTGTTGTGGCTTAGGTTTTTATCATTTGAGCCAAGAAAACACAAAATCTTACTCCTGTTGCTTTCTCACTTGTGACCTCCTTAAGTCACTCAAGTAAAGAAGAAGAAAAATCTGTTCAACTGAGCTAGCTTACTGAGCCTTGCATTTATTTATCATGTGGAGATCCTCAACAAATATGTGCCGTGACCCTAAATAGCATGTGAATGACTCAGAAGTTTACCATTCTGTGCTTAATATAGGTTGAAAATCCTGTTGGTTTTTTCCCCCCTCGAGGATCACCATGCTCTTTTCTGTCTCTGTGTTTTAATATAAGGGCTTGAATTTTGCTGATTTTGACTACTAACACTTCCAGAAGCAATCCTAGGTCAATTCATCTTTGCAACGTTGAAGCTTTCGCTCATTACAATGGTACTAATGTTGATTGAAAATGAAGGAGAAATTCATTTCTTCCTCGATAATGCCACTTTCACCAGTCTGAAGAACTACTGAAAACAAAAAAGCTGATGAATGGTATGTGCAAACATACTCTTCTGTTCTAGCATTCAGAAACAGGTTTGAAGAGTCTTTGCCTGCCCTTATTGCTTCTAAATTCCCAGCTTCCAAGGAGACAGCCCTCATGTCTCTCTATGTTCCTGATCAGAAGGAAACATCACGTTCATCTTTATTTTCTCTAGTAGATGTGCATATACTTCTCTTTTTTTTTGTTTTGTTAAGTAGTGCTGGGAATTTTCCATTAATATGGCCAGAAAAGAGAGAGAGGAAAGAGGATCAGTTTGAAGAAATTCTTGTAGGTGGGCACACCTACTGATGGACTTGGTAAGGGGAATTTGGGTATTGTATTCATGCTTTTAAACAGAAAATAGAAGGATGCAGTGTGGGTTCATTCTTGGAGCAGACTTTTAAGACAGATGCATCAGATAAAAGTCCCTGCTTCTTTACCTGGCTGTGGAGTAAGCTGAGTCTAAAACCTGAGTGCTCCAAGTTGAAGATAAGAACTTTGTTCCAAAACTCAGATTTAACATCTTTAAATTGGGCTTGAGGTCTTCTGCTACATCACTTAAATGACAGTGAAGTCTTGCTGTGACTCAGATGTTGATGCCCTAAGTCTATGGATTTTACTTTAGAACAGTTTTGTGTTGCGAGAATTCACAAACTTTAAAATCTAGGAAGAGCTAAATATAAAAAGAGGGTTTTCTTATTCCAAGCACAGGCAATCATAAAAGATGACATGGGATCAAAGGAATGGGGATGGAAGGGGGGGTCCTTACGCCTGTGTCAGCAGGATTCTTGTCTAGTGGAGCATCTGGTACAAATATGCTGTCCTACCTTCTCAGTGCCTTTGCAGGCCTCATAGTAAGTGGCTTCCAAGTGGGTGTGTGTGTGTTTTAAAGATTTCTTTTAGGTAACTGGACTGTCAGATTGAGTCTGTGTTTTGGACTGTTTTGTCTCTTACTAGCTTCTGCTATTATCCCTTAGTCATTCTTCACATATCTGGCTGGTTTGGTTAAGCCTTCCAGATAAGTTAGTATGTTTTCTTGACAGTCAAAAGAACGTTTGGGTAGGAAGCAGGTAAGCTATGCATTCTGAGTGGCTAGAGTTGGTGAAGTAGAACAACAACTGCTTTTTCCATAAAATTAAATTTCCTAGAACCAGTTAATTTTGGAATCATTCATTTTTATTTCTAAAGTTTCCAAGAATTGGCTTTTGTATCAAATGCCTTTAAAAGAATTTTAACTGTTATTTAAGTTTGTAGATGATAGGACTTGATTTCAATGTGCAACTTAAAATAATTTGCCTTTTGATGATACTTAATTTGTTAAATTCAGATGAGGTGGTGAATTTGAAGTGGGAAAATACCAAGAACTGGCTGTTGATTTCTGTGTCTCTATTGGGTTGTCACTCTGGTGTTGAAATAGTAGTACTCCATTAGAGTAGTCAGACAAGTCTGTCTGCAGGAATTGGATTAAAAAAAAATACGTGTTCTTGACATTTTGTTCCAGACTTGAATTTTATAGGTTTGCTACTAGTGATGATACCACTGTTCAACACGCCCAGTCTTTCTCCTCCTCCTCTTTCAAATTTTGGACCTGCTGGGTAGATATGAAGCAAAAGATGTGACCTGATTGAAATCATTGCCATGACTTTATATTTATCGCTCCTGCTTAAAGGTTATGTTAATATTTTTTTAAGTTCTTTATGAATTTTGGATGAGGGGGAAGGCAATGCATGGCAGCGTTTAATAGCAGTATGGAAAGTGCCATAGGGGCTCTGTGTACAGTAGCTGCTTGAACTACACAAGCAGGAGAAGGAAAAGAACTGATGATAACAGCAGGGTTATAGAGAATGCACATCAGGATTTTCTGCTTCCTTTTTATGTAGTGTAAGAACATTATACCTCTGAAAAAATGAAAAGGGCTTGTTGAGGAATACTGAAGTAAAATCTACCTGTCAATTTCATTGAAATGTGTTTTTCATTTCCATTTAAAAAAAAAAGCAAAACCCAACCATACAACAAACTTAATACACTTAAAATGCACTTAAAAGCTTAAGCTTTGCAATGTCTGCTAATTTTTAAGTGTTGGAAATTGAAAAGAAGTATGCCACAGTGTTGCTTTTGTATGCCTTACCTGTCTAGAACTCCATTTAATATGCATTTCTTCAAATTAGTTTGTAGAAGCTTTGCCAGAGGCAGATTTGTGGACAAGATTGAACTAGCAGCCTAGTCTGGAAAACTTTCTTTTGGCCTTTGTCTAGGAGAAATAAAAAAAAAAAGAGCCCATGTCTGGTCACAGTGGTGTTTTTTTAAGCTTCAGATCTGCCTTCCATTTTTGCACAAAAGCAGACCATGAGCCACAGTTGGTTTTGATCTGCAGATGCAATGGCATATTCTCTTTACATGCTCTCTAAAGCCAAGTAGATTTGACTCATCTAAAAGGTCTGTTGCTATTAGATTTTTCACTTCCCTGTCTGTGTTCTTCCCTTCTCTGTTCTTTCCAAGAAGAAAGGCAGATGAAATTTCACTTGTAAGCCTCACTTTGTAACTGGGGGTGCTGCCCATGTGATGGTAATGACAATAAATGCTTATTGGTTTTTCACCATCATATCAGAAAGTGAAATCTTGTTTTGCTTGAAAGCAGGATGTATTTAGACCTTTTTACTGAGCACAGTTGACCTAAGAAATTGTTAAATCTGTCCACAAGTATTCTGTAAGGATGCAGTTATCTACTCTATGCAGAATATTTGTATACTAGTAAAAAGGGGACGGGGAAAAAGCTTTAAGGATTTGTCAGGACAGTAGATTTATAAGTTTATACCTGGTTTAGGTTTTGTTTTGTTTCCAGAATAATGCTAATTTCATTCAAGAAAGATTTTATTTATTTATTTATTTTAAGCAATGGTGGCTTTATGCCAATAAAAATAATGCATACTGCAGTGCTAGAACAGCTGTCACAGTGAAAGAAAACTGCATTCCTAATCAGGCCATTTTTTCCACTGTATCTTTCTAAGACAACAGTTTGCATGTCTTTGTTAATGAGCATACAGTGTTAAAAATTGAAGGTGCATTGATTTGACCACATAATTCATTATCTGTAACTTAAATATATGTATATACACACAAAATAATTATATAGTCTGTATCTAATCACATATAATCTAATATTCAAAGAAGCATCAGCTTTTTTCCTCCTTTAATTCAGTCATGTTGAAACTTGATTTCAGTTTCTTATATACAGAAAACTTATTTTGCTCCATTTCTTGGCAGTATACTGTTGATTTTTTTTTTTTAACACTGAGTTTTATGATTCCTGTTTAATCACTTCTAATGGCCTTATGACAGGTTTAAAAATAGATGCAGATGTGCACATGCATATACATGGGGTTTATTTCCTTCAAATAAAATGAAGGAAACCTGCATTTAAAAAAAAAAAAATGTTTTCAACGTTTTCATGTTATTTTATAAGAAATTATACAGAAGCTTTTCTTTTAGCCTAATTAACCCAGGAAGTATTATGTGGTGATTAAGCAGTGGAAATATTTCCAGCTAATCCCCATACATAGACTCTTTGCTGATAAAACTTTTTTATAAAATGTGGACTAGCTTTGATTAAATATGTTTTGCCAGATATTCAGTGGACAGACATAGGGCCTTGATGAGCTCAGAGTCCTGCAGTTTCTGTAAACTTTGGTGTTTGCTACACACAGTTTAAAACTTAGGCGACCTTAACTGAGGTTTCTTGGCATAATTTGTTCTGTCCAGTGTGTCCTACATAGTCATCCTGTAGTACTAATACTGACACTGCCAGTTCCATTCTGTATGAAGATTTAAATATAAAGTCAAATATTTTAGACATCGTTTAGACTTCCAAAATGAAAATCAATTTCTTTTTAAAGAACAGAAAATGTTTTGGTTTATATGCATGCACGGAGCAGAAGTTTCTTGTAGCTATTTACATTGCTGATGAATCTCATTTATATTTGCTTTTCTGGCTGGCCAGAGTATTTCAGTTCCTCTGAGACTGGCATACATCGATTTGAAGTGCTTTATAAATATTGCTATTTACTTCTGTGAGGAAAAAAGTTAGATCCCTGAACAACTGCAATAGCATCTTACTCCT